TAACTGCAGCTGTCAGCATCTCTCCCCCTTAACAATCCTGGCTAGGGATGCTCAGACTTACATTCCAACAATTTCCGTTCCACCGCACGATTTCCAGCCCTTCCTAATAGCAAACATGGGCAAGCTCTTTCAGCTCTAGGGCAAAATTCCATCTCAGAGAGGTTCTTGAGGGCCACTACCCACCATGGTTGGGATCAAAGACAAAAGGATGAGGTCCAAAAACTATCAACATATTTTATCTTCCAGCTCCTGCAGTTTGCAAGTAAACCTTAGGAGAGGTGTTCTTTATATAGGGGAAATATAAACTACAAAAGCCAGCAATGGTGTCAGGAGTAAGGATGACATCTTAAGAAGACCACAAGAGGATTGGCATTGACCTTAGAATCTGAGGTTTCTCAACCCCTACTCTATAGGATGGCATTTCATTTTATTTACAGCACGATTTTATTTACAGCATATTTGGGTTAAGGCAAGAGTGAGAAACATCTGGGGATGTTTCCATTTCTAATGCCCAATTTGCCATAGTCATGAAGTGCTATTTCCCCTATAAACAATATGTCCATTCCTGGTATGCTTCCTTTACAAGTAGATTTACACTTCCAGGAAGCTTCTGGGAGCACATTTGTACTTGTAAACAAGACATACAACTGTCATTCACCTTGTTTGAAAGGAAAGGCATCACTTTTTGTCACCACTATGGCAAATTTGGTGACAGCAGTGACTATCATTTGGGGCGTCTGTGCAAAAAGAGACTGAGGTCCACATGTGGCCCATGAACCATGGGTTTCCCGGTTTTGAACCCCCCAATCATTCTCATCCAACATGAAATCCAAGTCTGAGTACATTAACTTAGGGCCTAAACAGACTGCCAGAAATAGTGCACATTAAATTGAGGCACTGCCCTGGCTCAGTGCTAGGGAATCATGGGAACTGTAATTTATTGTGGCACCAGAGCTCTCTGACAGAAAAGGCTCAATGTCTCAGAAAAAAATACAATTCCCATGATTCCCTAGCACAGAGCCAGGGCAGTGTCTCAATTTAATGTGCACTATTTCTGGCAGTCTGCAAAGGCCATAAGACACCTGGCCCACTTAATTTTAATGTATCCTTTCCAAGTATGGTAGCTTAAAACAAGTTTCTATCAGAGAGTTCTGCAGCCTCAAGGCATTTCCACACACAAGACTTGCAAAGGGGTCCTAAATTCAATTGGATTTTAATGTGAATATAAAATCTACAGGTCAGGAGTCCCATTTGCATTACAAATTCCTCTCGTGTGCTCTTCTCTTCAATGTGAACAACAGTCAGTCACTTGCATTCTGTCTCCTTGCTGTAGGATCTTGGCCCATATAATTGCACCGTTCTTTGTCTAGTTCTGATGTAATCAATATGTTAGAGCGGACATTTTTTCTTTAACACACTTCTATATTCATTACTGGTTTATTTTAGAAAAATCTATACCATCCTTCATCATCAGTCTCCAGGGCATGCTACATTTCAAATGGAGGGAAAAACAACAGTAAAGAGGAAGCATTATCATAAAACAGAAATGAAAACAGCATATATATTTTTCCTAAATAAATCTACTCACACAGTAATCTAATGGAGGGGCAAAAACAGAGCCAGAGAGCCAGTAATTTGAGTGTTGGACTCAGAATCTAGGAGACCAAGAGTTCGAATCCCTGCTTAGCAATGGAAACCCACTGGATAACCTTGGGAAGTCACTCTCTTTCAAGTTCAGAGGAAAGCAATGGCAAACCCTTCTTCACCAATCTTGCCCATAAAACCCTGCAATCAGTTCATCTTTGGGTCACCATAGTTGGAAATGACTTGAAAGTACACAACAACAATAATAGAGATCTCCATTTCCAAAACCAGAAGTGGGGAACTTCAGACTTTGGCTGCATCTACACTGCAGAATTTAACGCTGCTTTAACTGCCATGGCTCCATCCTATGGAATCCTAAGATGGGTAGTTTATCATGGCACCAGAACTCTCTGATAGAAAAGACTAAATATCTCACAAAACTACAAATCCCAAATTCCATAGCATTAAACCATAGCAGTTAAAAAGCAACATCAAACTGTGTTAATTCTGCAATGTAGACGCAGCTCTTGAAGCTGATCCTGGCCCTTCTGGAATCTCAATCTGGCCCTCTTTCCCCATGCCACCTCTATTTGATGGTTCCTCAGCTTTTGTAAGAGAAATTCCCCAACTTAAAAGACTGAAACGCCCCTCCCAAGGCTACCTTGCTAGTAGTAAGAACTACCAGCTAAACCAGTGATTCCCAAACTTTGGTCCTCCTAGAGTTTTGGACTCCAACTTCCAGAAGCCCCAGCCAGCTTGGCCAACAATTGGGAATTCTGGGAGTTGAAATCCACTGCATTTGGAGGACCAAAGTTTGGGAACCACTGAGCTAAACAATGCTGGTATTTTGGGCCCATCTTCTTTTCCATTTGGCTACTCTCCCCTCCTGAAATGTGTCCCTCAAGAACATCTCTGAATTTGAATTCACCACTTCCTTGGCTGAAAGAGGTTCCCTAGCTTGGCCCAAAGCTAGGATCTCCTGAATTTCTGATTATCAAGTGATTGGTGGCAGCAGAGAAGTTCAGTCTATGATAAAATATGATCCATGACAATCCTTTATATGTAATGTTCCCTCTCCTTTTTTTTCTCCCCTTCTCTTTTAGCCATAACATGATTAAAGTAGAAGCAGAGAAGCAAGGAAAACCATTGGAATGTGCACTGAACATTTTTTGTACCATAAAGGGAGGAAAACAGATGCCTCCATTCTCCTTAAATCCGCAATTTATTTGTACTGCTGTCTCAGTGTATCATCAAGAGACATAACAGAGGCAGAAAGGCTGTACTCTTCCTTCTTAAAGACATATACTGATATTCTTGTACTTTTACTGTCCAATATTCTTGTACGTTTACTGTGGGGAAATGGCAACTACTTGGTTTACATGCTAATGGGTTAGCGAACCTGTCCTGGATTATGCTCCAAACGTTAAATGAATTCTCCAAAAGGCTGAAAATAAGTTCTGTGTCTTCTGTACCTTGAAGAGTAGCAGATTCAAATCTGGATTAGATCCATCACCACCAAGGTAGGAACAGGTACCTGGAGTGGGAGAAAGAGATGCTTATGGGATTTCCCACTCCATGAGTCCAAAGCACTTGTTGAATTTTGGATATTGTGTACCTGTACTTATTCATGCTTTATGTAAGATCAACATGGGGTGTCCCCAGCTTCATGAGTCCAAACAACTTGTTGGATTTTGGTTTTTCAATAATGTAATATCAACATGGAGTGTCCCCAGTTTCATGAGTCCAAAGAACTTGTTGAGTTTTGGATATTAATTCATGTTTAATGTAAGATCAACATGGAGTGTTCCCAGCTTCTTGAATCGAAAGAACTTGTTGGGTTTTGGATATTGTATACCTTGACTCATGCCATGAGGGGCACCATTTGGTGCTCAGCCTCAGGCAGCACAATTGTCTTGGACTGGTGTGTGTGTGTGTGTGTGTGTGTGTGTGTGTGTGTGTGTGTGTGTGTTGGGTTCAAGCATATCGAAGGCCCTGAGATTTCAGGGACAATGCATAAAAGCTGGGGACATCCCATGTTGATCTTACATTAAATTTGAATCCACAAGCAACTACAGTCACTAAGCACATGGTCTTCAAATCATGCACAGGAAATCTAACACGTGAGAAATTAATTCATCAGGTTGGAAATGTGGTTTCCCAAATGTGACATTGAAGAGAAAAGGCCCTCACCTATTCTGAACACCTTTGCAAATGTTGTTTTTTAAGAATACATGGAAGAATTATAGTCCAACTAAAGAACAATTTCTACATTGTGCCTTGCACAGACAACAGTCGACAGGAGCTACTCTGAAATAAAGATGTAATTTTTGATGAATTGGTTTTCAAAGGAGGCAACTGAGTAATTTTAACAACTTTCTGCCAGTTTTAAGAAAATCTTTGAAAACTGTACAGTTTTGAAGACTGTTTGCAGTTCAGGGCTTATTGTGCACAAAATCCCCACCATTTTCTTTTTCTGTGCAGGAAACAAAATTTCCTGCACCTGAAATATTATGTTCTGTGCAGAAAATACTGTTTTATATTTTTAAAAAATTAAAAATGTGTGAATTTTGAGTAGAACCAGCCCTGAGCTGTGAAGATTCATGTCACCCCAGAATTCTTCTCCTCAGGGTTTCTCAACACTCAAGAAACATGTGAGGTTTTTAATCATTTTCTGACTGTTTTTTTTTTAAATATTCTTTCTCCTTCCTGCTTCAAAGCAACTTGCAGCAACAAGGGGCCAAGAACACACCAAATAAGGTATATGTTCACAGCATTAATTTTGCAGTCTGCATACTATATGTATTTTACTTTTATGTACAAAATTGTGATAGCTTATGACTATGAAGCATAAAAGGTGACACACTCGTGTATGCATCGTTTTCAAGACAATGCTGTTACTCTAAGATCCCTCCTCCTTGCCATGATAGGAAAAGAGAGACCGGGATCTAAGGTCTGAGAACTCGTGTGTGTGTGTGTTTGAATGTATGTGTTTCTTCAGCCGTCCATGTGAGACCGGAAAGGAGACTGTTGCTTGCCCTGCATAGAAACAGTGTCTCAAATATCTAATTATTCCCCCGGATTTGAAGACATTTATGTGCCTCATAAAAACAGAAGGGGGAACGGAGGGGAGAAGGACAATAAATCTCAGGCTGTTAAGTGTGGCTTTCCTCCTCCAGATGGATTTTCATCTCCATCATGAAAAGCTGGCAGTGTTTTTCACACAAGGTCAGGGAAACTGATGGGCACAATAGCAGAACTCAGAGCAGAAAAACCTGCTGCATCCTTCTCTGGGGTCTCCTTAATCCTTGCATGGCCTTTTAACCACTGCAGTCATGATCCAAACCTCAACAGGTACAGCATTCTTTGTCATCTTCTTTTCTCTTCACTTTAGAAACAGGATTCCTGGCTTTGTGAGAGCCATTATAGTGCAGTGGTTTGAGTGCTGGACTATAACTCTGGAGACCAGGGTTCGAGTCACTGCTCGACCATGGAAACTCAGTGGATGACTTTGGGCAAGTCCAACTATCTCAACCCAAGAAGAAGGTTGTGCCACTCTGAACAAATGGTGCCAAGAAACCCCCATGGTAGGTTCATCGTAGGGGTGCGATAAGTCAGAAATGACTTGAAGGTACACAATAACAACAACAACAACTGGCCTTGTTCTTCAGTGCACAGTGAGCTGAAAACCAACAGATGTTGGTTTTTGTGGGTTTTTCAGGCTGTGTGGCCATGTTCTAGAAGAGCTTCTTTCTGACGTTTTGCCAGCATCTGTGGCTGGCATCTTCAGAGAAAGATGTTGCTTCACAAAAGTCAATGTGATGTAGTGGTTAGAGTTTGGGGTTGCAATTCAAGAAACTCGGGTTCCAAGTCCTCATGGGGCCCAGCCCACCTTGATCCAGTGACTTTCTATCAGCCTTACCTTCCTCGCAAGCATGTTGTGAGAAGAAAATTGGGGAGGAGGACAACTGGGGAGGAGGATAACTCTGAGCTCTTTGGAGAAAAGGTGGAAAAGGAAACTACTATGTTGTTTGCTGTTGTGAGCCATCAAGTCATTTCTGACTTATGGCAACCCTAAGGCAAACCTATCATGAAATTTTCTTGGCAAGTTTCTTCAGAGGGGGGGTGTGCCATTGCCATCCTCTGAGGCTGAGAGTGTATGGTTTGCCCATCATCACCCAGTAGGTTTCCATGGTTGAATAGGGATTCAAACCCTTGCTTCCAGAGTCCTAGTCCTATGCCTAAACCACTACACCATGCTGGCTCCTATGAATACTGTTATAACTAATGTAATAAAATAATACAGCTAACAGTGAACAATTCTCAATACCTTGGTTCTGTCATTAACCAAAATGGAGACTGTGGACAAGAAATCAGAAGATGGAGACTTGGAAAGACAGCCATGAAAGAACTAGAGATTATCCTCAAATGTAAAGATATATCAGTAGATACCAATGTCAGCATTATGAATGCCAACACCATAGTGTTTCTGATGTGTATACATGGTTTGCGAAAGATGACAGTGAGGAAAGGTGATGGGAAGAGAATTTATTCATTTGAACCGTGATGCTGGTGGAGAGTTCTGCCGATACCAAGGACTGCTAAAAACACAAAGGAGTGGATATCAAAGCAAAGACTTGGGACATCCAGGTTTGAATCCCTTCTCAGTGAAACTCACTGGGTGACCTTAGGCCAGTCAAACATACTCAGTCTGGCCTGCTTCACATGGTTGTGGTGACCATCGAGCAGAAAAGAGAAACCCTAAGCTAGTAGGGAAAAAGAGAAAAATACATGCATATATGCATTCCAAATAAATAAATAAAGCTGGCCCTCCAATTCACAGATCCATATAGTCAACCATCCACTGCTTGAAAATATTCCAATAAATATGAATTCCCAAAAGCAAGTCTTGATTTTGCCATTTGATATAAGGAACGCCATTTTACCACACAATCATGGGGGTGTCATGTAAGAAAACCCCAGCAGATGCCAAAGGTCTGTTGTAAAAATGCTCCTCCATTTTTCACAACCTAGAGCAGTTTTTCTTCTGGGGTTGCTCACCCGCCCTCCTATTTCATGGATCAAACGTGGCCATCAATACAGCAACCTCTCATTTTTTACCATGGAAAGGAAAAATGCTAGGCTAGGAGAGGGACAAAACAAAACAGACAAAAGTGTTCTCTAAGCCCTGTGTGACTTGGAGAGAGGTGTTTTGTCAACTTGTCCAACTGGTAGGAAAGCCTAACAAATTTGAACTGAACTGACTCCATCTTTTATGTGCCTCCTAAATTAATCTCCGCTTTTGCAACCGTGGCTTCTTTCTCTTTATCAACTCTCAGCCTTATGAGGATTCTGCAAGGTCTGGAGATGAAGCAGCTTTGCTGGCATGTTATTATATTTTCACTGGCTGAAGATTTTTTCCCCCCATCTATTGCTTTGTCCCCTGAAGGAACTGAAGAAACACGGGGAAATAGGAGGTCCACTTATTTCCCTAGGCAGGACCTACCTGTTCAGGAGATATTTTTCTCTTCCTTTGTTTTAAGAGCAACAGGCACATGAAAGATGTCTCCAAGCCTGAGCTTGCAACAAGATTCTATTTATATTTTATTTTATTTTATTTGTTCTAAAGGCCTGTCCTAGTAAAAAGCATGTACCATAGAAATGGAAGGACTTGAGACTAGGGCCAGAATCACAAGCAAGAATAGGGATATATTTGACTATTTTGTCATTGCATGCAAGGATAAATAATTATAGTTGTTTTCATCCTGCTGCAGGAGAGAATGGCTACTCCTCCACTGTATTCTCAGATGTTGTGTGTTTTTAACTGATGTTGTATGTTGTATATTAATCTATTGTCATTCCCTGCCTTCATCCAATTAGTAGTAGTAGTAGTAGTAGTATTGTGTTGTTGTTGTTATATTTGAATATTGCAAAATACTGCAGATAAATCATTCTGTGGAGAAGAACGTATTGGGGGAGGAATGGGGGGGAGGAATTATGCACACAAAAAATAGTGTTTTGTGCAAAAACAAAAATAACATTGCATAATCTGTTTTTCATCACAGAATAATTCCTCCACAATGCTTCAGGATCTCTGAGACATTGTTTTATAATCAATATCTATTGCTTAGATGCATTTTTGGATTTTTTTAAAAAATGCACAAAAATAGACTGTATACTGTTTATTTTTGTGCAAACTGACCCACCCAAGGATATTGTGCAAGAAACAAGGAGGTGGGGATTGTGCACAAACGTACTTTTTGCAATAAAAGCCCCCAAAGATTAAAAAATCTGGTGGTAGCAAGCCATTTTCCTCCTGGGATGTCTTTGTTTCACGTCAAGACAATTTGTAAGTACTGTATTCTTGATATTCCTATTTCAGTCTTGCTCATGGTTCAATTGTTTTGCTCCATCTCTTCTCTTCCATCCTTTTCCTTTCTTTCTAAGCATGCTGGCATCCCATCCCACCCCTCTTTCTCTCTGTTTTCATCTTCTTAGGAGGCAAGGCAGAAGGTGAGGCATGGGAAAGAAATCAAGAGTTATGAGCACCAAGCAAGGAACGACATTTACGAGGAAAGGCTCCTTGACCCACCCATAAATCCTACTGGCTGTTCAATATCTTTTATGAGGACTTCAGCTCAAGTTCCACCGAGGATTGGACATTCCTAGCTGATCATCATGGTATGCTGAATGCTTCTTGCTAACATAGAGCCAGACTTTGCCATTTTCTTGAATTGACTCTTAAAACCAATTGCAAACCTAGAAAAATGCAGGCCAGTTTCAAAAAGATGAGCACTACAGTCACTTTTCGCTCCATGGGTGTGTTGTAAAGATGATTTATGGCTTTCCACACATTGTGGTGTAGCTAGGTAGGTGTAAAATAGGTATCTTAACACTCCCCCAGAAGTGTTCTGCTCCCAATAAAATTTTCTTTCAGCCCCCAAATTCTTAGCGTTGCCGAGAGTGAGACATTGAAAATCATTCACACCTTGGTGTTGTTCTGTGCCTTCAAGTCATTTCCAACTTATGGTGAACCTAAGGCCATCCTATCATGGGGTTTTCATGGCAAGATTTGTTCAGAGGAATCAAACCCTGGTCTCCAGAGTCGTAGTCCAAGGCTCAAACCACTATGCCACTATTTGCTAGGTTTGCATTCCTTGGTCACTTGACCTGCCCTTATGATGCCTAAACTGTATTTTTAAATGCTTAACTGAAGTTTTAAGTGACTACTATTCCAAAAATTTAAGGAATGATGGGGAAATTTAATGGTGGGGCAGAATTCTTACTCAGGGGTCAATGCTCTGATTTCTCCCCCCAGTAGCTACACCCCTGACTATATCTTAAAAGGTCTATATCTGCCCTAGGAAAAGAGATTCCACCTCAACATTAGGAGGAACATCCTGATGGTAAGAGCTGTTTGACAGTGGAAGACACTCCCTCGGAGTGTGGTGAAGTCTCCTTCTTTGGAAGTCTTTAAACAGAGACTAGATGGCCATCTGTTGGGGATGCTTTGATTGTGATTTCCTGCATGGCAGGGAGTTGGACTGGATGGTCCTTGGGGTCTCTTCCAACTCTATGATTCTATGATTCTAATTTGTCCTCCCCCATTGCTATAATTCTGCCTATATTGCAGACCAGCTACTTGAAAGACTGGGAGACTTGGAGAGACCCAGGGCATTTTGGGGCCACATATGGCCCTTACTTTAGTCAGTGGGTGGTTGAATGCAAACGGTGCATATCATTAGAAAGCCATGGACACAATGTGTATGCTATATACACAATGTGTGTGTTTCTGAGAAATTCACCCTCTAACCCAGACAGACATTTGTCCATTAAGGGGGGGGGGATCTAATAGCTCTGAGTTAGAGGTAAGAAAAGTATGTCCCTGGAAATGGACTTGACTGATTTGCACATTGTGACTTTCTATCAGCAGGCAAAGACTTGGAGACAGAACAAGGCCATTGCTAGAAGTCTTTGACTTCCCCAGATGTCATCTTCTGCCAGATACAAACTGGGCCATAAGACATTTCTGCAATCCAATTGCTAAAATTTATATCAACAGGACGTTTAAACAGGGACATCCATAAAAACGATACTTCTCAGTAGCATCTTCATCATATGCTAAAACTACAGCATCCATCGCTATCCGAACACATGCTGAACCATCTCCTTGTGATAAAGTGCAAAATTTGGAAGATGGATGGATCCGCTTACAAAGGTTCCTGGATAAGTTACCTGAATGGATCGTGAGGCTGTCCTTCTGCACTATTTGGAATATCATCGGCTAAGTTCTAGCTGTGACTCGATCCCCGGTGCCTAGTGGCTACTCTGTGTGTTTTAGTCATGCCTTTTAACTTTTGTATATTTTTATGTAATTTTATACTGTTTTTCAATTATTCTAACTGTTTTACATTTTATTCTAATTTTTTTAGAAAATGGTTTTATCTGTGAGTCACCTTGGGTTTCTTCTGCGAGAAAGACGCCATGCAAA